GAGTGGTCGTGGGAGAAGGACACCAGGTTTGGTCAAGTGGAGGGTCAGCAGAGTCCACGGAGGCCCTCAACGAGAGCCTACCACAGTGGGCCCCACAGGAGGCTCAGACACACCGACAGTCATGCAGGGGCAGGGCCAGGGCCAGGGCTTGGTTGTGTGAAAGGCCATGGGGAGTCAGAGCTGGCTGGACAGCACCCAGCCCCAGCTGCATGTGGGACCCCTGAGAGGCGTGCTCAGCCCGTCATGAGAACCATGGGTGGCGCTCGGCCATTTGGGCCTGTCCTGGCTCTGGTGGCAGGTGCCGGATGGGGACGGGCAGCCCAGTAGAGGCCCAGCGTGGGCTCACAGGGTGTGCTGAGGGTGTAGACATAGGACCAGACCTTCTGGGACCAGATGAGGGCTGGGGCTCAGCATCGATGAGAGGTGCACCACAGTGGAGGAGGTGGGCTTCACTTTGATGCCCCATGACACCCCAGGACAGCCCTTATCTCCCATCTGGCTCTTACCACTGCGCCCCTCCTTTGCCAGGCTCTGCTGCAGCATTGCCCCCACCAACACCTTCTCTGCTTTCTGGAAGTCTCGCCCCAGACGCTGGCACACTTGGCTCTCTACTGAAATGTCACTTCCTCAGGGAGACCTTCTGTAGCTACAAAGTTAGAAATGTCACCCTGCAGGTGCGAGCCTTCTGGAGAACGCAAGATTGATTAGACGGGGGTCACCTTTGCTGCCGGTACAATGACACGTTAGAGACTGGATATGGAAAGTCCCCGGTCGGAGGGCAGTGGACGGTGACTGGGAGGTGGGGAGCCAGCAATGGAGGGGGTGGGGTCACTGAAGAGGCTGCAGGGACACCTCGAGCTCCACCTGCAGGGCCCTCCCGGTTCCCACGAGGCTGGGGAGCAGGTGCCTGCAGAAGGCAGGGGCCATCCCAGACTCAGCAGTTTGGTCCCAGTTCTGGGCTGGACACTGAGGGGGGGAAATCCTGAAAAGGAGGAAGCCCTAAGAGGAAGCCCCAAATCTGCTTGCAAAGCTCCCTCCTGTTCCTGACCGACTGCGGCAGACTCCCAAGAGCCTGGTGGGACAGCTGGACGGACAAAGACCCCGGCCAGGGGTGACTGCCGCTTCCCAGCTCAGGGCAAGCAGCTTGAGTTCAAGTGCGACGAAGTCAGATGGGTTGAGAATTCACAGGTCAAGAAATAGGATAGACGGCAGAACCGAAGTGGACAGCCCAGGAGGAGAGGCAAAACCCCAGCAGCTTGGCCCTCCCACGACCAGGGAGCCAATCCAGCGGCTGTCAGCCTTCAGAAGCACATCAGGGGGTCTGTCTTCTGAGCCACCCTGTGTGGATTTGAACCACTAACCTTTAGGTTAGTAGCCAGGTATCTCAGCCACTTGTTCCACCCGGGGAGCCTAGCTGTACCGGAGCAAAGCCCAAAGTCAAGCCTCCCATGCAGCTCCGGGCAGGAGGGGACTGTGGCTTGGGACAGTGGCTGACCCCACAAAGGGACTAAGCAGCTCATAGAGTTGACGGCAAAGAAGCGTCAGCCATCGGAAGCTAGACTCTCTGTGACTTCACGCGGGCGTGTTCATGTCCGGTTCTCCTGATGGTCCAGCGGGGGTGCTCCTCGCCTGCCGGCCCCGAACTCAGCTGCTTCTGAGGGAACGGACACAGAATTCAGGGTCTGCATACCATTTACACCGTCCATCAGACCCCGGGAGAAGAGGGAGAAGGTGGCATTGTATTTGGTGGAAGACACGCACACACCGATTGTTGAGGTGCCGAAAGGGAAAACATTCTTCCCCTAAAATCCCCGTCTACCAACCAAACCAAAACTGACCCAAGAGGGGCCCAGGCCTTTGAGCCCAGGACCCTCAGTTTTAAGAAGCGAATCAATGAGCTCCTAGCACCCCGTGTCACTGGGTGGGTCCCCTGACCGTGACCCCAGGAGGCACAGTGGACCTGCGCTCCCTACCCAGGACTCAAGTAGGAAGAGAAAGCTTTGAACTTGATGGTGGCAACCTAGGTACACGCGGGCTCGCCACAGTGGATGGATGTGTGCGTTGTGATCAGAGCTGTAAGAGCCCCAGTGAAGCGATTT